GTGTAAGGAAATGGTCCAGTTTCATTCTTCTACATGTGGCTGTCCAATTTTCCCAACACCATTTGTTGAAGAGATTGTCTTTTTTTCATTGTATATTCTTTTGTCCTTTGTTGAAGATTAGTTGACTGTAGAGTTGAGGATCTATTTCTGGGTTCGCTATTCTGTTCCATTGATCTATATGTCTGTTTTTGTGTCAGTACCGTACTGTCTTGATGATTACAGCTTTGTAATAGAGCTTGAAGTCCGGAATTGTGATGCCACCAGCTTTGGTTTTCTTTTTCAACATTCCTTTGGTTATTTGGGGTCTTTTCTGGTTCCATACAAATTTTAGGATTATTTATTCCAGTTCTGTGAAAAAAGTTGAAGGTATTTTGATAGGGATTGCATTGAATGTGTAGATTGCTCTAGGTAGCATAGACATTTTAACAATATTTGTTCTTCCAATCCATGAGCATGGAACGTTTTTCCATTTCTTTGTGTCCTCCTCTATTTCTTTCATGGGTATTCTATAGTTTTCTGAGTATAGATCCTTTGCCTCTTTGGTTAGGTTTATTCCTAGGTATCTTATGGTTTTGGGTGCAATTGTAAATGGGATCGACTCCTTAATTTCTCTTTCTTCTGTCTCGTTGGCGTATAGAAATGCAACTGATTTCTGTGAATTGATCATGTCACTATTTTATATAAGAGGGAATGCCCCACCCCAGCCCCTTTTCAGTGGCACAGATGTTGGACAGTTGCTGGCTAAAGGGAGGAACTTTTTGGAGTTCCTCTATAATGTTTTAAAGCGATACAAAAGCTACATTCCCTTGGAAGTTTTAACTGCACATGACCCACTCAGCTGCTCTAGATTATATAGCTTCAAGTCAGTATATTTCCCTACATATGGAAGTGAACATTAGAGGTAGATTATTTTTTTAAAGTATATCATACCTGAAACCAAGATTTTTTTATACCAATCTTATGGAGTAGTAAGTGGGAACGAACAATAGACAGGGACCTAGGATGCCAGAGTTCTAGTTACAGCTCTAATGTGTTTTATGGCCTTGAGCGAGGCACCTAACCTTTCTATGTTTATTTCGTCTGTTAAATGGTGATAGTGATATCTATTATATTTACCTCAAAGGATTGTTGGGAAACTAAAATGGTGTAACATGTAAAAGGTCTTTTAAGTGTATAGGATTGTACAAATACTATAATACAAAAATAATGTCCAGTTTGGTCTTTATGTTCTTAAAATTGAAAACAATTTTAAGCGTGTTCCTTTAATGGATCTGCCATCACACAGTATTTAAAATGATGATTTAACCCTGGTAAAACTACTAGTATGTGTATAAATGTCATTGCTCTTCTAAATAAAGAGTAAATTTGATGAATACCCAACTTGATGACTAAACTGTTATTTGCAGTTTTATTTATGATGTGTTTGGAATCTAAGGAAAATATCCTGTCAGATGTAAATGGGCCTTGAGTAATGCTGGCTCTCTGGTTTCTGCAGGAGTTGATCTAGAGCAGTCACGAAAAGAAGAGGAACAACAGATGTTACAGGATGCCCGCCAGTGGCTCAACAGCGGGAAACTAGAGGATGTAAGGCAGCCTCGCTCAGGGGCCACAGCCCTCCATGTGGCTGCTGCCAAGGGCTACTCTGAGGTCCTCAGGTATTGTCCGTTTACATCAGTCAGGAGTTTGGTAAACTGGGAGAAGATGAGCTGGGTTTTGGAAGCAGGGGATGAATTAGATTTTCAGCTATGATATGTTTCTTTCTTTATTGTTTTCCTCTCTGATTACTCAGTCTTTTCTTCTCTTTTGCTGATATTAATCCATAGATGGTCTCCCACCGTCCTACTGTCACGTGAGTTTCTCGCTGACATGTATGATAGGAAACAGTTCAGGTACACTAGCCTAGGAGATGACCTTACATGATCTCCTCCAGTGCTGTGATTTATCATTACTATCACTACAGTCTTCTCCTCTGGTGATGTGTAATACAGGACACACTTGTGATCATTTTGGTCCTTTTTGGACATAGAGAATTTCTTTGGGCTCTTTAGATTAAGGGTACAGATCTTGAGTGTGCAGTGTCCAGTTAGAGTAGGAGAGTTAAACTGATATGAGGGATTTGGATTCTACTGCTCTACCTGTTCCATTTTTTCTTACATCCATACATGCTTTAGGTAGCTTCTGGTGCTTACTGTTGACAGGCTTTCCCAAATACATGGGCAGCTAATAGCTTTGTGTGCATGGTTGTTGCCAGACTCTTCCAGTGCTTCATACTCCACCAAATATGGGGTATCTAATAGGTGTGGCAGTATGTTAGTATAGTTTCTGCCTGAGAGTGACATTCATATTCTGCTCATTTCTTAGAAGGTGTCTGGAGGCCCATGATATGGGTAACCTCAATCAGGCCAGTGCAGTTTGGGGCCTCAGGAGTCATACCTTTCTTCCTCCATGCACACAGATTATAGCTTTGTAGTTAGCAAGAAGTCCCTGCAAAGTCCCTTCGCAGAGTTGGAAGTTTGAGAGTCTACAGTAAACATATGGGATCCTGGAAAGATCAACTAGAAAGTTTGTAAGTAAAGTGCCCTGAAGAGTATTGAGTGAGTGAGTGAGTTCTTTCTTTTTCTTTCTCCTTTCTTCCTTTCTTCCTTTTTCTTTCTTTCATGTTCAGTTCGCCACCATACAGTACATCATGAGTTTCAGATGTAGTATTCAGTGATTCATTAGTTGCGTATAACACCCAGTGCTAATCACAACACATGCCCTCCTTAATCCCCATCACCTGGCTACCCCATCTCCCCCTACCCCAAAACCCTCAGTTTGTTTCCTGGAGTCCAGAGTCTCTCGTGGTTAGTCCTTCTCTGATTCCCCCACTTCAGTTTTCCCTTCCTTCCCCTATTGTCCTCCTTGCTATTGCTTACATTCCACATATGAGTGAAACCATATGATAATTGTCTTTCTCTGCTTGACTTATTTCACTTAGCATAATCCCCTCCAGTTCCATCTATGTCGATGCAAATGGTGGGTATTCATCCTTTCTGATGGCTGAGTAATATTCCATCGTATATATGAACGACATCTTCTTTATCCATTCATCTGTTGAAGGGCATCTTGGCCCTTCCACAGTTTGGCTATTGTGGACATTGGTGCTATGAACATTGGGTGAAAATGTTCAACATCATTAGCCATCAGGGAAATTCAAATCAAAACCACATTGAGATACCACCTTACACCAGTTAGAATGGCAAAAATTAACAAGGCAGGAAACAATAAGTGTTGGCGAGGATGTGGAGAAATGGGACCCTCTTACACTGTTGATGGGAGTTCTCATTTTATATGTTCTTTCCTACCTGCACTAGGAAATGGAAAACACACCTTGTAACAGAGTTGTGTGGTTTGGCAAAGTTAATCAGGCTTTGGTGAATCTCAAAGGGATACACCTTTCTAAATACTCCTCTTGTGTGGTGTCACATGGATGTACCTAGGAAATACACTCTGACCTTTCAGAGCGGGTTGATAACTGCTCTCTGTGATAGGTTCTCAGTGTAGGAACCGTGAAGCCCGAGCTGTGCCTTAGAGGACAGAAGTAATCAGTTTCCTGGTGGTTCAGGGCCAAAGTGAATATCAATTAGGTGATAGTTTATTTGGCAGAAAACTATAATTTAGAGGGTATAAGTGTCTTGTTTGGGGTTTTCTTCTTAGACTTTTAATCCAGGCTGGCTATGAACTCAATGTTCAGGATTACGATGGCTGGACTCCCCTCCATGCTGCTGCACACTGGGGAGTGAAGGAGGCTTGCTCCATCCTGGCAGAAGCACTCTGTGACATGGATATCAGGAACAAACTGGTTAGTATGCCTGACCCTCTAAAAGGGCAGTGAATTTGGTGTCTGGGTCTCTAGAACAAAAGGCTTAAAGTCTCAGTTAAATGGCCAGGCTTACTGTCTGGGGAAATATTACATCACAGGTAGCTATGGCTCTGTTCTCTGTACCCTCCTCCTTCCCTGTGGCCCCATTATCAACACAGAGATGTTTGCTATGTAAAATAAAACTCTACTGATCAGCATTCTGATTCTATTTATGTTGAAGCCCCTAAAATAAATAGGAAAAAAAGATATTTGCCCTTGGGAAAAATGAGCACTGGGAAATCCTAAGGTTGCTGTTTATGGTGAAGTATGAAAGATTTTATTTTACTTTATTTTTAATTCAAAGACTTTTGATAGCTGAATTCTACTCTCATCCAGTCATTAAAAAAACATTATAATGACAAAGATCCTTGAGTCTGGCTGAAAATAGTTATGCAGCCTCACTTCAAGCAACTTTAGAGGCCCTAGAACTCCTGTCCCTAAAACTAGTGATTTTTTTTTAGGAATCCAGAGACATGGCTTTTTATTTAGTAGATGTTCTTATCTGCTTCACATCTCTCCTGAACCCAGCTTTCATCCCCAGTTTATGGGTTATGGTCCTGAACTGTGCTGATGTTTCCTAAAAGAGATACCCTTCTTGAAGGGAGATAACTGCTGTGACTTAATCTTTAGTGAACATGTGCCCGGACCCCCTTCTGAGGCTTTTAAGAAAAGCCCCTTATTGAATTTATTATAACAATTAAGACCATTTTAGAACAGGTACAAGTAGAGATTTCAATTGATTATATGCCAAGAGGCAGTAAGCATTAGAGATAATGTGGTGATTTCCTCAATACTGTTTTATTAAATATAAAAACATGTATTTAAAGGACTTGATGTGTTTTGCTTTGTTTTAGAGGAAGAGTGTGTGAGTGGGTAAGGGGGGGAGGTAGTACAGAATCTTAAGTAGGTTCCATGCACAGAGCCTCATGCGGGGCTCAATCTCACGACCCTGAGATTATGACTTGAGCCAAAATCAAGAGTCAGACGCTTAACCAACTGAGCTACCCAGGTTCCCCAACAGACATGCTGTTCCTTGTTACGTTTTCTCTGTGATAGATGAAGGCATTATTATAATGTAGAGTAGATAAGTTAGGGAAGCAGCTATCACTAGAACAAAGGCATAAAATGAGTATTGAATAGTTCTCTGATAAAGTCACAAAATCACTACTTCTATTTTCTTTTGATCATGGTACCCCCTTTTCTCTGCCAGGGCCAGACACCATTTGATGTGGCTGATGAGGGTCTTGTGGAGCACTTGGAGATGCTCCAGAAGAAGCAGAATGTGGTAAGTCTTTGGTTAATGCTTTTAAAAGCTTTTATAACAGTGCAGGTATCTCATACCTTGTTTTAGTTATGTCTCCTGAGAGCTGAAATGGACATATCTACATTCCAGAGATGATAATTGTTCACTTCAGGGACTAGCAGCAGTCTGTTAGAAAATATCCCAGAAACCATTGTTGTTGAAGTTTACTCATTATAAGATAGCCTTCAAGCAGCTAAAAGTAAAAAATGACAAGAACAACAAAGTAATTATTACCCTGGAGTTCTAGGAAATGAATGTGGTATATTCAAATCAGAGTTTTTTTCCAAATAGGGAGTACCAGGGCAGAGGACACATCATAACTTTTTTCTCCTCTTATTTACTGAAAGGGCATGTTTATTTAAAGTAAATTCATGACAGGGAGGAATATATTTCTTTCTTACAAAGTATACAAGGCCACAAAACTAAACCTGTCTTTTGGTATTGGACAGTACTTGGCCAGTGATTCATACTTACTCAGGATTCATTAGATATCCAGAATTCAATCCTCCTCTCCCTTCTCATTTTAAATCTTTTATTGTTTGCTTGCACGTACCATTCTGTTGCTTGGTGCTATGTAGGAGAACTACCTAAGTATCATACCCATGTACAGACTGCAGAAGGAAAAAACCCACCCCAATATCCAGATAAACAATGAATAATTCACTTTTTCTATCTGTAAGTGGGATGATTAATTTGGACAAGGAGAATAAAAATCAGCTACTGATGATCAGGGCTGATGTCTGAACAGAGTGGGACAGAAAAAAATCACTAACTTTCCTTTGTGTTTTTCTTTGCATGAATTGTGGCTCAGGGCATGTGAACTCAAGTTTAGGACAAAGGAGAGAAACTTAGAGCAGTTCTGAAAAAAATAACTATGGAGTTCACTGGTGGGACTGATCAACCGTATCTCACTGCACACATGTTCAGCACCACGTCTGGACTGGTAGAATGAAGATCCCCGTTACTTCAAGTCTTAGTGGGACAATTGCATATATAAAGCTCAGACAAACACAACTTACAGTTCCTCTTGTTTTCTTTGGTGAGCTGTGGAATCTAGGCTAAAACTTGGGACTCACCACACACAGTACTGGGGCTATTACCTAACAGCATTGGCCTTCCTAAGATGTATGCTTTGTTTAGTTAGGTTTTTGTTGTGTTTTAAACTTCTCATTCTGAAATAATTTTTAGACCCATGAAGAAGTTGCGAAAATAGTAGAGAGTTTCTATGTATCCTTTACCCAGCATGGTTTGGTTTTTGAACATAAATAATATTTTCACTAAATAACATTTCTGCACTGGGAATGGTGCTTATCTTTGCTCCCTGCATAACTTTTGGGTCCAGGGATATAAACTCATTTTGTCTAGAGCATCTATCTAAATACCAGACAGTTTATTCTAGGGACTTATTTCCCCTTTGGTACCATTTTTTTCTTGAGAACTATTGCCAACCTAATTCGGTATGTGGTCATAAAGAATTTTTTCAAAGTTCCTTCCCTTTCTTTTTAATCCATCAGAAGCTAGGCTTTTTTTTTTTTTTCTTTTTTAAGTTTACTTATTTTTTTTAGTAATCTCTCAACACCCAACGTGGGGCTTGAAGTCACAACCCCCACATCAAGAGTCACATGGTCTTCTGAATGAGCCAGCCGGCCTCCACTAGAAGCCAGGGTTTTTTGAAGATTGGGTTTGGATATTTGATACGAGCGGTTTTATTGAAGCTCTAACACCATGGTTTTTTTCTTACCTTGGATGAGGATTTTCCTTTGTCATTATCTTGTAAGGAGACCCAACTGATGCGTTTCTCTTTTTCTCAGTTCTTTCTTCCCTTTTGGTATCAGTCCTGTTTTCTTCAGAATGACAGTACCATTTTGAGTTCTTCTCATTGCTGCTGATTTGTACTAATAGTCAACTTCTTCCCTTTCCTCTCTGTTTTCTCAATTTCCAGCTTCGAAGTGAAAAAGAGACACGGAATAAGCTCATTGAGTCAGACCTGAACAGCAAGTTGCAGAGTGGACTTTTTAAGAAGTAAGATGTTCAGGGCTTGAGAAATGGGATGAGCTCTGCTGTGTTTGGGTGCATATGTGTGTATGACATAGCTTGAGAATTTATACAGGAAAGAAACTGTGTTTGATTTAAGCCAAATGATCTTTAAACATGTGGGATGTTTGAGGGGCAAAGAGGTGGCATTGATATATGGGGGAGACCCTGAGGGTGGGTGAATGTGTTTTTTTTTTAATTTTAAGATTTTATTTATTTATTTGAGAGAGTGTGTGAGCATGAGCGGGGGAGGGGCAGAAGGGGAGGGAGAAGCGGACTCCTTGATGAGCAGGGAGCCTGATGCAGGGGACGTGGGCTCAATCCCAGGACCCTGGTTTCACGACCTGAGCCGAAGGCTGATGCTCAACCAACTGAGCCACCCAGGTGCCCCGGGTGAATGTGTTTTAAATTCAGAAATTAATTGAGACAGTGTACAACATTTTCCCCCCAGCTTACGGGTTCCTAGTCCTAGTTACATCCCTAACTCTAAGTTCTGTGAACTCAGGGACCATGTGTGTTTTGTTTACCACTGTACCAGGGCCTAGCATGATACCTGGCAGGTAATAAACATTCAGGAAACATTTGTTAAATGACTTTTTAAAAATATTTACCTGCTTTATCACCGTCAAGATTCATAGTCCTCCTTTTTCCTGTGTGTTGAACAGGCTAGATCTACTTAAGTCATACTCCAAAGTCAAATACTGAACCTTAGTCTACAAAAACCCAAGGATTCAGAAGAATGTAAAGAAGGATTTGAAGTATTTCTGTTATTGCTTCTACACAGAGGTTTATAGACTTGTTCTTATGCTTGATTGCCAGTGAACTTAAATAGTTTGCCGTTTCTGAGTTACACTCAAATTGTCATCTTTAATTTAGCAAAGAGAAGATGCTTTATGAAGAAGAGGTATCCAAGTCCCAAGAAATGGAGGAAGAAAGCAAAGAGTCTAGCAGCTCCAGCTCAGAGGAGGAGGAAGGTGAAGATGAAGCTTCTGAGTCAGAAACTGAGAAGGAAGCAGGTAATGTAAAGATATTCATAGTAAAGATCCTCTGTTTCCATAACGCAAGGAGATCACTGCTTGTCAGAGCTAGGAGGTGTCAGAGGGCTCCAAAAAGAGCTTTGAGTTCTTTAAGTTTAGTTTTCAAAGATAAGATACCAAATTTTGAGGGAAAACTTGGTTGTAAAAGCTATGAGCTAGGTTAGAATATGTGTATTGGTTTCTATGTAGCCATATGATAAGGCGCACAAAAAAATTCCTTTTAAAAAAAAAGATTTATTTATTTATTTATTTATTTATTTATTTATTTATTGAGAGTGCCCATGCGCATGCCTGTAAGCAGGCAGGTGGGGGAGAGGGAGAGAATCTCAAGCTGACTCCGCAGTAGTCAGAGCGTGGAGCTCTACTGGGAGCTTGATCCCACAACCCTGAGATCATGACCTGAGTGGAAATCAAAGTCAGACACTCAACCAACTAAGCCACCCAGGAGCCCCCCAGAAATTCTTGTGTAAAGGAGCCAACTGTCTGACCTCAGTTTGGTAGGGTGTAGAGACCAGATTCCAAAATTCAGTACGCTAAGAGGCTGAGGAGGTGAGATCTTGCAGAGTCATATTTGGTCAAGTATCTTTAACCAGCTGGTGAAAATTTGCATTTAGTTCTCAGGTTCACCTGATTCCCTGAACAAAATCCCAAGATCTTTTCATTTTCCTTCTGATTATATGAAGCTCCTTCAATTCCTGAGGTGGGGATTGAAGAAGGAACAAAATCATATTTACCTTTATGACTGTTATTAATATTATATATACTTCATATGGCACTTCTTAAGTTTATTATTTGGCAAGACAGGAAACCCAACAGTGAGAGTGAGGTGCTGGGCATGGTCAGATCCACAAGCTGTAGAAGCAGCCATAGGTTTTGATACATAGTCAGGCAAACACTGAGAAAAGAGATACTGGGTTTTACTGAGTAGCGGTTTACCTGCAACAGAACAGCTCTCATGGATAATTGGAAGTTAATGATAACTAAGATTTTTACAGTACATGTGTCCTACCCTCACTGGCTTGTATTAATAGTACTAGTATTAGCTCATTGAAAGTCACCAAAGGAAATTAGAGACCATTGATTGTGTAGAGAAGATAGGCACCAACTAAGTTTATAGCATAGGAGATGATCTTTTACTCATGGAGCCTTGAACTTCTGTTATTAAGTAGGCACAGCTTGCTCTGGAAATGCTAGTGTAGTACCTATCAAAATTTATAAATGTTCATCTTTTTTATGTTTTTATTATTTATTAAGGACTTACATGTCTTAAGCTTTCAAGTATTTCTATTTGGTCTTGCTCTGTGCTAGATCACTTTGTTAACTACCAAGGTATTAGAAAAATGGGAGGGAGCTACCTGAACTACTATAATTGCTTCGTTATATGTACCCATGCCTCAGGTCTCTGGTCCCTACAACCCATCTCTACATTGCTGTTGGAGTAAAACACCCACAGCGCCCTTAGGTTATACTACACCCCTGTCCAGAAGCCATCTACGACCACCTTCCTCTCTCCCATCTTTGCCTGTAGAATAAATCCCAAGTTCTGAAACCTGACCTTCAAGATCTTTCATAATCTATCTCCAGCTGACCTTTCCAGTGCTATCCATAGGCAGTGTCATCTACTAGCCAAGCTGGATTGCTTGGTTTCCCCAAACATGCCCTGAGCTTTCCTACCCCTGAACTTTTATTTGCACCTTAGAATTCATTTCTGACCATCAAATGCTTATGGAGTGATTTCTGTTACAAGCTATAGGATTTACCAGGATGAAGAAGCCTTTCTTTAGGTTTTCCTATATAAAAAAAGTGAAAAGGAGTGGACCACTTCACTGTTCCCCCACCCCATGATAATTGCTCCCCTGTCTGTATTCCTCTAGCACTTCATACTTATCTCTGTTGTAACACTCATCATTTTGGCTGAGAACTCTAGGTTTATCATTTACTCCTAGGTCTCTGCATGATGCCCGACACAGGACAAGCATTCACATTCATTAAATGCTTTTTGTTGGATACATCTAGGACATACAGGGGAATAGGAAGGCATATACATGAATAAAATACATGCCACATGAGAGAGATAAATGTTGTCAATGATATTCACTAGTAAGAAAGATTATATTTAGTTTGGGGGATTATAACAACACTTTACATTTGGGTAGTGCTTTTTACTCTACAATGTACTTACAACCACACCCTGAGGGATGTATTATCACCACATTTTAGAGTGGGAAATTGACCCTGTAAGGGGTGAGGCAAACTGGGTCTCATAGCTGGCAAGTGGTGTGCCTGAGATCCTGACTTTGATCTGGGATTCCTCAGAGTAGCAGGGGCGAAGTGAAATGTGGAAATTATCTGCCTAAAAGGTGGAAGCTAAAGGTGTGGAAAAGGATGAGATTTCCCAACGGAAAGATGGTAGAGAAAAGATGTACAAAAAGAATCGTGGGGCATGCTGTGTTTAGGAAGTAAAAAGAGGCAAAGAAGGTATGGTCAGGCAGGTTGAGGAAAACCAGGATATGTGTTTCTGCATCAGAAAAGCCAGGGTAGGGGGCTGCCTGTGTGGCTCAGTCGGTTAAGCATCTGCCTTCAGTTCAGGTCATGATCCCAGGGTCCTGGGATCGAGCCCCATGTCAGGCTCCTTGCTCAGCAGGGAGCCTGCTTCTCCTTCTCCCTCCGCCTCCCTCTCCCTCTGCCTTCCACTCCCCCTGCTTGTGCGTGCTCTCTCTCTCTCTCTCTCTGTCAAATACATAAAATCCTAAAAAGAAAGAAAGAAAAGCCACAGTAGGAGTGGGAAGGGAGAGGTCAAGAAAGAGACAGCATTTAGGGAGTCTGGTAATCTCAGCAGTTTCTGTAGCCTGATGTAGGCAGAAGCCAGATGGTTCCAGCAAGCTTCCCTGCTCATTTCTGCCAGTTGAAGTTTTACTCATATTTCAAAGCCCAGCTTAAATCAGCTTCTTCTATGAAGCCTTATCATCACAGATACAAGTTTTTCTCCCCTCCTCTGACTGGTAGCTATTTGTTTGAACCTCTTTTATATTACTTACATTACCTAGTAGTAGTGTTATTTCTGTTTGTTTCTCATCTCCTCTCTTCTTCCCCTACCAGCAAGTTTCAGAAGCACCGAAATGTATTGTGTGTCTTGTTTATCTTTCTGTCTTCCATAATGCCTAGCACTGGGCCTTCTATATGGTAGGTCCCTATAAATATACATTATATATAAATGTATTTTGGAAAATGTGGGGAACTGGATTATGTCTAAACCTTTCCAAATGATGCCCAACACATTATGTATGTACTGAACAAGTATTTGTTGAATGCATTTATCCCGTTTTTAAAGATCCACAGATACAACCTCATAAAATGACAGTTTTCATATGTCTTATGTATAAATGTAATTGTAAAGAATACTAATTCTCTTTTGAGGTGAATGTAAGCAGTTTGATTTGGATTTCTATTTTCCCCTTTCTTTTATTTATTTGACTTAAACATTTGGTATATTAGTTATCTATTGCTAAATAACAAGCCATCCTCAAATTTAGTGGTGCTTAAAACAACTATTTATATACACCCAATTCTATGGGTTGGCAGTTTGGGAAGGGCTTCAATGGGGTGGCTTTTCTTTCCTCCGTGTGGTAATACTGGGCTTACTCATGTGTTGGTGGTCAGTTGGTAAGTCAGCTGGGGGCTGGCTGGTCCCAGATGGCCTTACTCACCTTTCTGGTAGTTGGTTAGGATGTTTGAGGCAAGTGGGCCATGTTCATCAAGCGGACTAGCCCCTGCTTCTTCACACGGCGGTTGGATTCCACAAGATGAGAGGGCAAGGTTCAGTGCACAAGTACTTTCCAAGCCTCTGTTTGTATCACTTTACTAATATCCCAGTGGTCATAGACAGTCACATTGCCAAGCCCAGAGTCAATCTGAGAGGCCACTCACAGGGGTATAGATTCATTGGGAGTTCTTACTATAATGATCTGTCACATTTAGGTAGTAAGGTATACTTCTTGGGGTTAGAGATATTCAGATAATATTTAAAGAATGCCTTGAATATTTCATAATGACCACAAGAAATAACATTAATAATAAATTACTGTTTACTAGGGACTTATTATGGCCAGACATTGAACGATGCAATTTAAAAACATTATCTCTAGACTTTATAGCAACTCATAGGTAAGAATTAAAATTCCTGATTAATCAGTGAGAAAAGAGAGGTTCATATATGTTAAGTAATTTGCCCAGTGTCACACAGCTAAAATGTGGCTTAAATTTGTCACGTAATTCTTAGGTGGATTACTCTGGGGCCCTGTTTCCAGAGTACGTAGATCAGAAGGCCCCACCACACCTACTAGGTGCAGGCACTGATGTAGCAGTGAACGAGACAGACAGGGTTTCCACTTGATGGCCCTATAACATGGACTACTGTTATTTATTAAGAGGGTTCACCTACTACAGCTCTGTAGCTTAACTCGCAATATCCTCTGTAATCCTTTCTACCTTTATTTCCTATTGTAATCCCAAGAATATTCATTACTTTAATTAGGCCTGCTTAAATTAGGCCTGCTTAGACTTAAATTTACTGACCAACAGATGTGTATATTTTGATTTCTGATTCATTACTCATACCCTTTCTTCCTCCTGCCAGTTGGTATTTGTCTTCCAGTTTTCTCTATGCATCTTTCCTTGTTTCCTCCCTCAGAGGATTTACTCTGAACTCATAAAGCCCCATTGATCCAACTCAACCAATTTAGCACCTAACTTATATATGATCTTCTATTGTTACTATTATCATTATGCATCTTATCTCATGTCTTGATTATAATTACCTAGAAAGCAAGATCTATCTGGTTTTTCCTGCCCAATCTCCCAAAACAGAGTAGATTCTTATTACGTACTTACTGACGAATTTTATATATGATACATAATGTGGAGAAAGTTTTCAGTTATATATCTGGGAATTGGAGCCTACCAAGAAAGGAGTTTTACCATTGAGTTTATTTCCTTTTGGCAATGTTGCTAGAGATTTCATTTTAGTTTGAGTCCAAGCATTACATGACCCTCATAATCTGTTTTGATATGGGTAAACCTTTTCTGTTAGCAGAAAAGTACATACATACACACAGATAAGGTTTTCATACTTGGACTTGTTCCTTCTCTTGTCTTAAATAATAGATAAAAAGCTAGAAGCCATTGTCAACCATTCCAACTCTGAAAGCAAGAGTATTATCACGGAACAGATACCACCACCGGCTCAGAATACCTTCTCTGCCTCTTCAGCTAGGAGAGTGAGTATTTTGGAACTAATTTGAATATTATATTTCTCCTACTATGGTTACATACAGTTTGAAAGGCCTTAAAGATACATTCTTGCAAGATAATACAGATACATCTTGCCTGTCCTAGTCACCTTAGGCTGCCATAACAAAATACTACCAACCAGGTGGCTTTAAACAACAGAAATTTATTTCTCCCAATTATGGAGGCTGGGCTATCCAAGATCACGGGACTAGCTGTGTCACACGGGGCTAGCTAAGTCAGTTCCTAGTGAGGAATCTCTTCCTAGTTTGCAGACAGCCACCTTACCTCCAAATATTATAGTCACACTGGGGATTAGAGCTTCAAATTATGGATGGGGGCGGGGGTGCACACAAACATTTCTTTTATCACGTTGCCTGCAAAAGCTATAAATCCATCACCAAACAAATTTGGGTACAATGTGTTTAGATAACATAGGATATAGTGATCTGGGACCAAAGAATTTTGTCCATTGCTTATTTTCTTCATATCTATGGCTAAGTAGGTAAGTATATATAAAGCTCAGACTGGGTTAGGAAGATAGCTAGCATTCAGTACTTTTTTTTAAAGATTTTATTTATTTATTTGACAGAGAGAGACACAGCGAGAGAGGGAACACAAACGGGGAGTGGGAGAGGGAGAAGCAGGCTTCCCATGGAGTAGGGAGCCCAATGGGGGGCTCGATCCCGGAACTCTGGGATCATGACCTGAGCCGAAGGCAGACGCTTAATAACTGAGCCACCCAAGTGCCCCTAGCATTCAGTATTAATTGATTTGATGACTTATGTCCTTTTTTTTATGTCTTGTTTAAAATTTTACTTTCATAAGTAAAGTCTTGGTAGTACTCATAATGAGTAGAGAGCAGAGGTAGAAAGAACTTGCTGAGATACCAGAGACACCTCCTCCTGCAGTTCGGCCCAGGCCTCTGAGAAGCTATACGCTTCTAGTCAGTGAGACAGAGTTGAATAATGACCTTGCGCTACAAAGGATACAATTAGTTTTGAGATTAAGAATTGATATGAGTTCTTGGGAAGAAAGCTGTTGAAAAAACTCTATGGTTTTATAGATACTAACTTACTGATCTTCTTGAAAAGACAGGATTATGGTATCATTGTGGAGATGAGGAAACAAAGCCCTGCCTGCTTATTTATTCGTACGAGCATCACTTTGAATGTGTAGAGATGTCTCAGATAGGACACAGACCTCACTCCGCACCCTGGCATTTAGCTGTACCTCACATACTCCCACTGCTTCTAGGTGTGACTGGACTTCTTGCTTTCTTTTAATTTAATTTATTTTTTTTGTTTTATTTTTGAAAGAGAGAGAGTGTGTGTGTGACTCTCAGAGTCAGGGTGGCTTACAAAGAGCTGACATGATTGAGCCTCTAAAGCTGGAAGGAGTACATAAATATATACATTCAGATGACTAATTAAAAGAGAAAATCTGAGTGTGAGCTGGAGACGAGTGATTTAGTGTTTCTATTGTATTGTCACTATACCAGGCAGTAAAGGTGGCCTGATACCTGGAATAAGACCAAAGCCATCTTGCAGAGGTCCCCCAGATCCCAGGAATGGACTGTTGACTGCAGTTCTAAAGACCTATTACTTCAGACTGGTGTTTGGGGTTAACACTAGTCTATGATGTTTTCCGTGGTTTATGGCAAAATGAGATAAAGACAATGTAAGCTTTCCAGAAAGCTTTCTTTTCTGAGGTTAAAATGTTTTTCTTTTTTTAATGAAATGATAGTGATGGAAATGGTAAGCAAGTTTTTGAAAGATGTTCTCCCAGCAAAATCTAAAAGATGGCAACTCTATGAGTTCTGCCATTTTTCTTCTTTTTTAATTTTGCTGCTCGGTGAAATCTGAAGCCCTTGGAACTGCTGCTCAAGATCAAATAAACTATTTTCTTCAAAAAGCAATATTCGCTCCTCGGATGAACCTCATTGGCTATGATACTGCCACTGCGCAAAGCTTAAACTATTTTCTTGAAATAAGCAATTAGAATTTGAGTGGAGTGAGTTTTAGTATTTTTATGAGTATTAAGTCAGCTTACCACAGTCTTATCACAGTACCTTAAAACATACTTATACATTGGCTCATCTGTGTTTTCTAGTCTCCACGTATTATAAAGAGGAATTAAGCTCATTATCACCATTTTACAGGTGAGCATGTTGAGACCTAGAGAAGTAAAATGTCTCATTTTCAGTTACACAGCAAGTCATGCAAGAGAAGATGTTTTTACTAGAACGTGGATCTCCTGGTGTTCTAGGTCAGTACACTAAGAGAGCAAATAGTGTTTAACTTCTCAGAGAGCAACTCTGTCAGTAGGAGCACTGTTAAGAATCTGAGACTATTTCTGGCTCAGGGAGAAAGGCAGTCTTGAGCGGTTATTAGCGTCTGCCAGGTGAGGAAGGGAACATTGGCAGAAAGCCTGCCATGTATTTGTTCTCCTTGTACTGCCTTATGTTGCCTCACTGAACTTAGTGTGGGAAAAGGCAAATAGGCTGAAAAGAATCATCAGGACCTTTTTTTTTCCCCCTTTTCTTTTCTTTGCTTCTTCCCTCATAGTTCTCCTCCAGCCTTTTTAATAAGCCAGAAGAACCCAAAGATGAATCTCCTTCTTCGTGGAGACTGGGACTCAGAAAAACTGGCAGCCACAACATGCTGAGTGAGGTGGCCAATTCTAGGGAAGCTCTAAGGGACCGAGGCTCTTCCATCTACCGGTCATCATCAAGCCCTCGGATTTCTGCTCTGCTGGACAACAAAGATAAGGTGCAGTTTAGGCAGGGTACGGGGGAGTTCCTGGGCAGTTCCCTTCTGTGAAAATTCGGTCTCAGGAGCAAATGAAAGTGTGTTCTAGTCCCTGATTTGATTCTGGAAGTACAAAGTCTTTAAAGGGAGATGGCACATTGATAGTTTAAACAGTTACCTATTTGCTTGCTATTATTACTCGGCCAAAAAAGAAAAACCCTTTATCTTTTGGCATATCTTATGTTCATTCTTCCTTACCCTCCTTACGTAGGGCAAATAAATAATAAAATAAAGCAAAATAAATTTAGTTAGAAACATGAAAATTTGGACATGGCCTAAGGTTCCCTTGAACCAATACCAGTAATTTATTGTTTCAGTGTTTGGAAGCAAAGTTCCTTAGCCGGACTTTCGATCCTAATAAAGCTCAGGCAAATTAGCACTTAGAAAAAAGTGTTTAAGTGCCTTATTTTTTTCGTTACTAGATATGTGATCGGGCTAACTTCACAAACAGCTCATCCACATAATCGTCCAAGATCAGTGCATTTTTATTTCTTAACTTTTGGTTCCAGATTTTCTAGGGCTTACCTGATGCTCTTCTCTGGGGTCAGGTCTGCCCTGTAACCGTAGTCCCCTGCTCAATATTGTGTTTCTGGAGACTCCTCAAGGAGATGAGTCATATTGATTGGATGAATTCTGCAGCATATTTGTTGTGCATGAAGCTGCATTTCAAAGAGAAGATATAGGCTGGGGAGGAAATAAGGCTTATTTCATTAAGAACTTTAGAGTGGAGTTTTCTGTTTGTGGCTTTTCAAAGGCTCCATCTCTCTTGGCAGGGCTGTTGCTTTGTGTAATTTGTGCTGCTGTTTTCCTTTTTTGATCGTTTTAGCCTTTTGCATGAGAATTATTTCCCTGTATATTGGTCTTTTAACGGAGGAGAGGTAGGAATTAGCCTTTGAAAGGTAACCTTTTGTAATACCACTCTGGTACTGGATCTAGAAATAAGATGATATAGGTGTATTGATCTCTGCTTTTTTACCCAGAATGTTACACGGTGTCAGTATTGTACCTTCTCTGTGCTTTACTTGTTTTGATTTTACAGGAGAGAGAAAACAAAAGCTATTTTAGTTCACTAGCACCCCGGAGGCTCAGCAGCACAAGTGACATTGAAGAAAAGGAGAACAGGTAATCCTAATACAGGCCAAAAGATGGTCCTCTGTAACTTTCCTAGGCATAGTGATGCCTTGGCCATCGCTCTGCGGCCATCTCTCCACAGGTGCCCTTAGCACATTATGAATTGTTTATTCCTTCTGCTTAGAGCTCCTCCCAGCCCTTGCTCTCTTGCTTTGCCCTTCGCCCTTCAGGCTCTCACTTCAGCTTGGGTATTACTGTCTTTAGGAAGTCTTCCCCGGCCCTTCTGAGGGTGAATTTGTTTTAGTACACCAGCAGGGTCTGTAAAGGTAGGATCTATGTCTGGTTTCTCAGGGACCCGTAGTGCCTAGCACACGACCTATTCCATGGTAAACACTAAAGGTATTGTTATTTAATTAGTGATCAACTTCTAATGTGTATGTACATAAAATTTAAAGTCTTCCTCATCAGTTAAAATGAATGTGAGGATTTTGAGGTACTGCTGCATCTCAGGGCAGAACCTGATCGAGAACCTTGCTTTTTAAGGTGTGGTCTTCCCAACCAGCAGCATTGGTTTCACCTGGAAGCATGTTAAAAGTGCAGAATCTCAGGCCCCACCTCAGACCTGCTGAATTAGAACTTGGATTTTAACAAAAATTCTCTAGGTCATTCAAATGCACATTGAAGTTTGAGAAGGACTGCTCTGGAGAGCCACAGCTTTGGTCGCAAAGGCCCTGAATGAACAGTTGTGAATTAGAAATCCTACTACAGCCCTTTCCTGGACGACTTTTATTTATAACACTAAGTAGACTTCCAGCAGGTTCTTCTCTTTTCCTCCTCTGCGGTAGTTACCTCTTTCCCTTGTGACAGACTTCCTCACCTTCCCCATCATCCTCTTCTCTGCTTACTTATGAACAACCTCTTGGCTTTGTAAAGCCCTTTAAAGGAGAAACAAAAGTGGGTTCTCATTACCAAAGAATTGGAGACCTTTGATATAAGGATTTGGTACCTATTGAAGTTAGTTGGCTTTGAAGTTGATAAAAGAAAGCAGGCAGTAGTAATACTTGACCCATTCTCTATGTATACAGAAAACAGGTTTATATAAACCCAAGTATCACTTGAAAAGTGTGTCTATTTCTTTAGCCATCATATTACAGTTTCTGTCCCTGGCTCTTCTCTCCCACCCCCACCCCCCAGAGGGAGAAGCAGACTCCCCGCTGAGCAGGGAGCCTGATGTGGGGCTTGATTCTAGGACCCTGAGATCATGACCTGAGCCAAAGGCAGATGCTTAACCAACTGAGCTTCCCAGGCACCCCTCCCAGTTTGCATTGTATCGTGGACAAAACTGGTGGTAGGAATCAGTGCTTTGTTTTATTTTTCTTTCATGCCTCTACAGAGAATCAGCTGTTAATCTAGTGAGGAGTGGTTCATATACACGGCAGCTGTGGAGGGATGAAGCAAAGGGAAGTGAAACTCCACAGACAGTTGCTCCTTCTACCTATGTATCAACCTACTTGAAAAGGTACCAGGTTCCACGGGATGGGAGATGATTTTTCTTCACTCTGGTCATGGGTGTATGGGTAATAATTGCATGCCGTTTTATATCCAATTAGCACCATGAAAATGAATCAAAAAATGAATTACTTTTAGATTTCTTGGGAGTAACAGCTTGACTAATTTTAAATTAACATTAATTTATTTTCCTAACTGAATTAAAGTATCTAATTCCAAATTCTCACCACAGACAGATCTGAATTTATACTCTCTCCTCTCAGTCCTATTAAAATCTTCAACTGGAAGTGACTTCTAGTAATCCCTGAGCAGGACTGAATTTAAATCACCTTTGTCCAGTAGCTAGCTTTCCTTTTTCTAAAACTAGAGTAGTTCACATCTCAAGTTACATTTTTATGGGGAGGAAGGGAGGGACCCTATAGGGTGGTGAGGGGGGTGGGTAATGGGGACAGTTTTGAATTGCATTAAAGAAGTTTCATATTGAAGCCTGTTAATTTAGGGACTTGAGTTGTTTTTTTTTTTATGACTTTAATGGCCCTCAGATCCATCAAGATGTGAAACTCGCAAGTTTGGTGCAGAGAAGGTACATGGGTTTCCTTCCCCTTTTCTCATCTATATTCTCTTTTCTGCAATTATTTTCTTTGCCATGTACCAGCCAGCAAGCAAAGCACCTTTGCCAGAGCCATTAAACTATAAGATACACTTAATGAGTATTTTAATTTGAACTTTGCTGCTGATGTCAAGAGTCTGATTCTCATTTCTTACTTTGAATTCTTTCTTCACTTTTATTTACTCAACCCCTCCAACTGCCTCTTCATGCCATGGGCTTCATCATTAGGTTTTATAGGCTGCCCAAGAAACAGCCTTTTGCCATAAACTATGCGTTGGGGTTTAAAACTTAATTCCACTTGATTAGAGGAATCTTGTCAACTAGTTAATATCAGAACATGGGAACTAGTAAGCCATAAAACAAACAGCCACTGTAGCCTTTTGATGGTCTTCCGTTCTGCAGAGATAATTCAGCATTCTCACTGAAGCTTCATTATATATGCAAACTCAGTGTTTTTGGCTTAATGAAGCTATCACTTATTTGTCTTCAGGACTAAGGTCTTAGTCTGTCTAGATACATCATTACGCCTTATGGTTGCATCCAAGACCAAGAAAAGTTTTCTAAGAAAATAACATTCTAGTACTAGGAAAAAAAGCTGCATTTAATTTCCAAGCATGTTGTTACATTGTGGTGGGGTTGTTCTTTTTCGTGATCCAAATCATTAACAAATGGGTTGAGTGAGTAGCATCTGGATAGATAGGTATAGTTGGCACAATTATGGTAAACAGAGGGAAAGGGACTGCCTCTATTTAGGGTGGAAAGCTTGCTTAATTATGTGAGTGCTTTTTGAAAGAAGATCCACAGCTTGCTTCATGCTTTGGATTTCCAAACTTCTGTCACCCTTAAAGCATTTTTTGATTATACAAAATCTCATTTTATGATCTTTTCAAAAGGGAATTGTATGCTATCACTATTTAAAAAAGAAAGTACGAGAAGACATTTGGCCATCTTGGGCTCCGCCGGGCCTCAGCAAACTTTCCATTTTCTAGTTCATCTCTTGTCCTTAGGCAGAAATTCCTTTCCTGTGTCCCCCAGTAAAATGCATCTTAAAGTAAAAGGCTTCATAGCTTGTTTTGGTCACCCCTGCTAGTGTCATTACTATAATAGTCAAAATGTTTTTTTAAAAAATTCTAATCCAAATAATTTTTTGCTTCAATTGAGATGGCTCTTATCTTCATTTGAAACACAAAGGAAAGTTGCCTTCTGCTGCCCATGCAATATTATTTTCTAGACTTAAAACTTTGAATCCTCCCAAGACTAGGCTAAATAACCACAGTTCTCAGACATTTTTTTTCCCACAGAGCTTTTTTATTCTTCTCTACTCTTTAATTTTAAATTTCTACTCCAAAACCTCTCCAAATTCTTGGTCTTACTTTAGCTTCTGCAGTGCTACTTCTGTATCAGGTAGACATTTGGGGTCGCATGATTTTTTTGCCTTGGGGTTTGTTGGGAATTACTTTTTCTAATAAAATTATTCTATTTGCTAATATTTCTTAGCCCCTATTCTGTTCCTATATACTATTCTTCTGCTTTCTCTTATTGCATATCATCTCTCCTCCATGTTCCTTCACTCTTTTGGATGATTGACAGATGCCTGCTTGCTGCCGGTGACCCAGCTCTAGCTGGAGTTGATCACTCACTCCACTTCCCAGTTGCCATACCCTCTCTTTGGTCTACATTCCTTTTAAATGCACAATCTGGGGGGGAAGGTGGTGCTGGGAAATGGTGGGTGAGCAGCATGTCCTGAAGAAAGTGACTGTGTGCTGTTTTGCAGTGCTTCCTTTGGTAGAAGTAGTGACCCCACAAGTCCCTACATTTCAGCCAATCGCAATTCATCTGCTACCTCACCCATTACCATTGGTTCATCTACCTCTCGGGGCAACAAGTGGCAACCTGCCTCTTCTTGCCCTGCACCAATCAGTGCAAACACTACTGCATCTGTACACCATGGCAGGTAAGGCTTCTTGGGGCCATTTGAGTTACAGTCACCAAAACTCATGCCTCTGGATGCACATATGAGATTCGAACCAAAGAGACTTTGGCACTGGGGAAGCAAGTTTGAATTCTTGTGAAAATGTCCATGATTTAACAAGGAGGTTTTGTTTGGACTTGTATTAGCCGCTCAGCAGTTGCTCATTGAAAAATCATAGGGTATATATCTTGGTACTTGGTGTTTAGGCATCAACTGAAAATGACTGCTTTTGTGTGATTACTATGTAAGGGTCTCATCCTATTATGGGAAAGCACATATTAAAAATATCCCCATACTTCACTTACATTAATTTTCCAGTGAGTAGGAATCTCTTCTACTTACTCTTTTTTTCAGAGGTTGGCATACAAACCCAAATCAGAAGAAAAGCTAGCTCTTGTTCCAAAAGCTTCCTATAGCTTTCTGAAAATTCCCAGCCAATGAGAGCATTTTGCTGGAAACATGCGGGAGGGAAGAGATTTATGTTTGTATAAATTTGTCTAGATTTGTGGTATTCCTGGGGCCATGGTGTCTAGTCTGTCAAAGGGGTAGCATGGGGGTAGCATGGACAGGGCTTCATCGTGAAAGCACAATAGACTTCAGCTGTGGTTTTGGCTATGGCTTTCAACCCTGTATGTATGCTCAGAGACCTTTTTACTTTGGGGTATGGCAAAGGGACTTCTTTTTGAAGGCTTGTTTCTAGAACTGACACAAAATGAAAAACATTAATGATGAATAGTGTTAATTATTGCTGCAAGAACACTGTTGATGGTAGTACTTGATGGATTTTTGTCCATTTATTAGATTTCTTTCCTTAAAGTAAGTGGCGATCATTTGTTTGGCCAGGAGGGATAGGCTCAAGATGGATTATTAATAATAATACTGATAATTATGTAGAAATTTATTAGGTCCTCATAATAATTCATCTGCACAGGCATAGTAAATATTATACCATAGATGAAGAAACTGAAACACAGGTTTACTTGCTTAAGTATTAAGAGCTGAAACTAGGGAAAAATAGTAACAGCTGCCATTTGTTGAACCCTATCACGTGCCAAGCATTGGCTTAGGTACTTACAAAAATTACATGAGCAATTGGTTTACTCACATGTAACAGTAAATCTAAATAATTGAGGCTAAAATATGATAAAGGTTCATTTTTTTTTCTCTCACTTAAGAAAGTCCAGAAATAGGCAGGGCTGGCACCACAGCTTCAAAGTCCTTAAAGAATCCTGGATTCTTCTGTCTTTCTGCCTCACAATCCTTAGATCATGCTTCCGTTTCCACAGGTTGCCTCATGACATAAAATAGCTGCTGAAGCTCTAGCTGACATGACTGCATTCTAGGCAGGAAGAAGAAAGAAAGGGGGAAATACAAAAAGAGAGAAGGCCTCTGAACTGAGGTTTTCCCCCAAAGCACTAATTTTCTACTTATGCCTCACTGGCTACCTGTAGCAGCCAGGGAGACTTTGGAAGATGTGAATTTTTAACTAGGTGCAATGCTGCCCTCAATAATTGACGGGTTCTGTTAGTAAGAAAAGGAAAATGAATATAGGTTGGGCAACTCGCTATCTCAGGCACACATATTGTTTATAAAGAGGCCTCCAGCGTATGAAGTACCATTTTTATTTTATGGGTGTAGAAACTGAGACCCAAAGCTTAATCATCTGCCCAAGGTCACATATCTAGTAAGGAACTGAGGCAGGGTTTGAACCTAGATTTGTCCATGTCAGAGATCCTGTTTCACTATTTTGTTTCCACTGAGCTTATGTTTTATTCTGAGCTCAAAACTAATGTTCTTCATACATTATTTTATTTAGTTATCACAAGACCCCTGCATTTTAAGATATCATTATTCCCGTTTTACAGATGAAGAGACTAGAGAGGTTAACTTGGCTGAAATGTAGCCCCACATGGTTCCAGAGCCTCTGACCCCTGCTCTGCAGCTTTTCCTATTCTGGCAATCTTTTTTTTTTAAGATTTTATTTATTTATTAGAGAGAGAGAGAGTGAGAGAGCATAAGCAGGGGGAGCAGAGGCAGAGGGAGAAGCAAACTTCCTGCTGAGCAGGGAGTCCCATGTGGGACTCGATCCCAGGACCCTGGGATCATAACCTGAGCTAAAGGCAGACTCTTAACCAGCTGAGCCACGCAGGCGTCCCTTCCAATTCTGTTCTTAACATTCTACTTATAAAATTATACCATATATCAAAATAATAGTACAAGTTCTATTCTGTAATTCAATAAAATAAAATCCTTGGCGTTTCCACAGCAGGAAAAAAATCTCAGGGAGAACAAAACATGTTATTAACCTAAAAAGAATGTCAAGTAAGGTGTTTTTTTTTGTTGTTTTTTTATGTTATGTTAATCACCTTACATTACATCATTAGTTTTTGATGTAGTGTTCCATAATTCATTGTTTGCATATAACACCCAGTGCTCCATGCAGTACGTGCCCATCCCCCCACCCCCCTCCCCTCTAGAACCCTCAGTTTGTTTCTCAGAGTCCATAGTCTCTCATGGTTCGTCTCCCCGTCTGATATCCCCCCCTTCATTCTTCCCTTCCTGCTATCTTCTTCTTTTTTTTTTTTTTTTAACATATAATGTATTATTTGTTTCAGAGGTACAGGTCTGTGATTCAGCAGTCTTACACAATTCACAGTGCTCACCATAGCACATACCCTCCCCAATGTCTATCACCCAGCCACCAATTTTTTATAGTTTGGTTCTGGCTAATTTTATTCGTGTGTCCTATAGACTCATACATTTTATAAGTCTGAGGAATTTAATTTCACCTTTTTTCTGAGTCATTAATTGCTTCTGGAGAAGTGGCTTGTGTTTTTTAGATACCACTTCAAAACTGTTCTATTTTTATAATTGCATCTAGGTACCATATTTAGATTTTTTACAATCTGATTATTGCTTTCAAGCTTAGTCTAATGATGTGATTATTTGAAAATGAGCTTATAGCTACTTATAAGCATTTCTGGTAATTGTGAGTAGGTGAAAAAAAACAAAAAGATTTTTAGCATTCATTATTTTCATTGCTTTTCCCATCTCTGTGAATATCAATTTTGGATCTCTGTTACCCCAGCAACAAGCTGTGACATCACAAATGATAGCTTTTTGGGTGGAGAGCCAATGGTTGCTCTCAACTCTTTGTTAAGAAACAAAGATCTTGTTTTCATGTAAATGAGTTTAATTATACAGCTTGCTGTTGGAAAGTCTGCAGTTAAGGTTACATATAGAATCTTAGTTTTTGTTTCTGTTGCTCATGTATGCACTTAAGAATACAGGCAATCAGGCATTTGGTTAAATATAAAGAGAGCAGTTGCTGAGCTAGGTGGGAAAGAACTAAACATATGAGGTTGTATTTATCAAATATCTCTGGAATCCAAGAAGATGGTCATCTAATCCAGGCTGAGGACTACCAAAGACTCTCACTGCCAAGAATTAAGGGGCAGGTGGAGAATAATATCGTAAGTGACTTTAGTGTTGTTTTCATGTGTGTGGAAAGGCCCTGCCTCTGTGTGTGTGTGTGGAGACCAGATGGTGCTCAGGAGTCATTTAAAGCACTCTTGCATATGTCACTATCTTCCTTGTGCCATAGCTCATTTTTAAAAAAATTTTTAATCTCAAGCAAAAAAAATTTTTTTTCATGAAATATAACTCTTTGGGCAGAGGATATCAAACTAAATGTATATAATCATACTGTTGTAAGAATTAAGAGCTCAGAATTTAAAAAACCAGTCAACCAGCCAACAAAATTGGAGCAAGAAGATTCTCTAGATAAACTCATCTCAAACCCTCTGTCTGTGTGCTAGTGCTTTGTTATGTAGCATGCCTAACCATTCTCTTTCTGCTTGTGTTTTTGTGTGTCTGTGTTTTTGATTTCAGGACTCCTTACAAATCCCAGGCTGACTCAACAGCAGAGAAAACAGCAGACAATGTCTCTTCTAGCACCCCGCTCTGTGTGATCACTAATCGCCCTCCACCTAACACTGCCAATGGGGTCACAACTGCCACTCTGCTCTCCACTCCTGGAACAGACTCCTCTGTGGAAGCCAGGGACAGGAGGAGGTATGTTCTATACTGATTTCATTTGCGGGGTTCTGCTTTGAGGTAGGAGATAAAGGAGTGGGTGTGAAGTCTTTCCCCCAATCCCAGATACATTTATGAAAGTAGATCTTTATATTACAGTTTGGGTTTTCTATTTTGCCTCTGGGAGATTTTTGACAGAGATCTTAATTATTTCTGATAATATTTAACATAGATACTTATCTTTTTTCTATTTGTCTTATAAAAGAAATCAGGGTCAGGCATTATTTCCCCATTTTGTGATGGAGAACCTGAAGCACAGAGAAGGATCTTTTCTTTTGTTCTGGGGAGTCCATGAAGATTTCTCTGGCAGGAAAGAAAAGCAGCATCATGAGAAAGGCTCAGAGAAATAAAGCTAGGATATAATTTTAATTAATTTAAGAATACCAGAAAAAGAACCGAATAGTATATGATGATATGGTAGAAAGATAGTGACTAGTTACCGTACAGTTTCTTTAGAGAAAAATTGTGAGAGAGCAGTCATGAATTGGCACAGGAGAGATTTAAGGTAGAAGCTAAGAAGAACTTTTTGATTGTCATTATTAGGAGATGTTCGAAGATGTGACCAAGAAGAATGGGACATTTTCTCCCACTTGAAAAAGTGTAAAAAATAGAATGCACTCCATTTGGCTGTTTCAGATCTACTTAAAAACTGAAGCCATACTTATCCCTTTTTTAAGACTATAAAAGGAAGTGAAATCTTATCAAAATTTAGATTTCAGTTTGGCTTCATTTTCTTTTGACTATCCAAAGGAAGAAGATTTTATGTTTGTGAGTGTGTATATATGTAATAAGTCAAGAAGTCTTATCATCTACAAGATACAATGAGTTAAACTTTTTAGATGTTTGTTTATTATAAAGACAGTTCTAAAATTAAAATTTTGAGAAGTGGAAGGGAGATGTTAAGTGAGTTGAAAAATAGTGTTTTTTTCTTCCTTTTTTTTTCATTTCTTTATATAAAAATAGAAGAAAGTCAGTTTTCTGGGCTCACAGGTTGCAGAGCATCATCTTTTCCTGGTTTCCAGCCAAGGAAATTTTAATAAATCAATCTTGAATATTTAATGTTTATATATTTAATAGCTCAGATGGAATTTAGGTATTATTAGTTTCATCTAGGAACTAAATGCAAAAGTAATATTTTTTGAATATTAGCTGAAAAAAACTCCCTTTAAAAATTCCTTCTGGGCTGAGACAAGTAAAATGAGTTAAATTCATCATTAAGATATGATCCCTGTGAGGATGGGTAAATCAGGCTTTTTATCAAACTGCATTATTAAATATTTAGTTGCATGCACCATTATTTAGAGAAACCTAGAGAGACAGTTACTGTCTTCTGGAATTTTTACAACCTATGAAGAATAAGATAGCACCTGCTACAGATTTTAATTTTGTTTTAGAAGTTTTACTTAAGCCACAAATATTTATTGATTATATACTGTGTGCCATGTATTATCACTAGGACATAATTCCTCAAGAAGCAGCAAATATAAGAAGAATTAAATCAAAATATCACTGAATTATGTGAATGTGGTGTATCAAGATAAGTGAATTTTTAGGATGGCACAAGATAATAAACAGGGATATTAGATATTTATTAGATAATAAATAATCTTAGACAAATAGGGTAATAGCACAAGATAAATAAATAAGAAGATATTACATAAAGAGCTGTTGGACTTAGTCACTAGCATTCATTCTTTTCAAAATATTTGAACATGTGCCATTGCAGAGTACTGTGATGAACCCAGGTAATACAGCAGTGAACAAGGAAAACAATCTCAGCCCTTGGGGAATGTATGTGGTAGTGAAGAAAAACAAACACTAAATAATTGTGATATATACTATGAAGAAGTAGTGTGAGTTGTTATGACAGAAGATCTGCCTACAGAAGACTTCCCTTCTCCTACAGGTTATCTTAAGAGTATGATGCTCTTGTGGACAAATAATAGCTCGGAGAAGGGGATAAGCATTCCTGGCAGAAAATATGGCTGTTAAAAAGCCACTAAGGTGGGAAGGTGCTTGATCCTTTGGAGAATTTGAGAGAAGATGTTGTGGCTTTGGGGTAGAGAGTTAGGGAGAGAGCAGTCTAAGGTGAGGCTTGAGGAATAAATAGGAGCTATATCATGCAAAGTCTTACAGCTGAGGACAAAGATTTTGGATATATATGTTAAGAACCATGATGAGCTACTTGAAGCATTTTTTTTGAACAGCTTTATAAAGATATAATTTATATATACCATATAATTTAAGGTGTACAGTTCAGTCATTTTTTGGTATATTCACAGATATGTGCAATGATTACCACAGTCAATTTTAGGACATTTTCATCATCTTAAAAAGAAATCCCATACCTTTAGTTATGGTCCCCCCTACTCCCACCCCATCTTCCCATCCCCTAGACCTCAGCAACTACTGATCTATCTTCTGTTTCTGTAGAGTTGCCTATTCTGGACATTTCATGTAAATGGAATCAATATGTGGTTTTTTGTAACTGGCTTCTTTCACTTAGAATAATGTGTTCAAGGTTCATCCATGTTGTAGCATGTATCAGCACTTTGTTTTTTAAATGGCCAAACACTACTCCATTGTGTGGATATACTGTATTTTGTTTGCCACTTGTAAGTTGGTGGACATTTGAGTTCTTTCCACCTTTTGGCTATTTTGAATAATGTTACTATAAACATTCATGTACGAGTTTTTGTGTGGACATATGTTTTTCTTTCTTTTGGATATATATGTAGGAGTAGAATTGCTGGGTCATACAGAAAATATGCAAAAAGCAAAAAGATAACATGATCTGGTTTACATTTTTTAGAATTTTGGCTTTTAAACTCTGGGTACAGTATTCCATATGAATTGGACAGGGGAAGGATGGACAGGAATAGATGTGAAATGACCAGTAGGACACTATTGCAAAACAAGGGTGCATGAGAGAGAACATTGGCTTGCACAGAGGTAGTAGTAAAAGGGATGGAGAAAAGTAAATGGACTCAAAATTTATTTAGGAAAAGGTTCTAGCAACATGGTAGATGGATTTATAAGGACCCCTTTCCCATTATAAACATAGGAAAATGTAGTTGAGTTCAGAAAAGTGAAAGGGAACTGCTAGGTGACAAAAATGAAGAGAATCCAAAGGCCAGAAAGGTTTGAGTGGCCCAGGATTGGTATAAGACGTCTAGAGTAGATGTTAGCGTCTGGAGGCTCAGATTTTAGTGCCATGCCTGGGTGTAGGAAGCATGGCTTTGGACCTGACTAGGCTAGGAACTGTAAGTAAAAACCTATATAAAGCTGGAGTTCTCAAAAGGCTGCCAGTTCATGAAAAGGGTACTTTGTCTATGGCCCCCAAAAATGTCAAGGATGGCGCCTATTCAAGGGTCTGAGCAGGGACAGAAAAATCTTTTGTGGGAAATTTTTACTACACATATAGTGTGGAAATCCCAAGCCAAGAATTTTTTTTTTTTAAAGGTTTATTTATTTAGGGGCGTCTGGGTGGCTCAGTCATTAAGCGTCTGCCTTCGGCTCAGGTCATGATCTCAGGGTCCTGGGATCGAGCCCCGCATCGGGCTCCCTGCTCAGCAGGAAGCCTGCTTCTCCCTCTCCCACTCCCCCTGCTTGTGTTCCCTCTCTTGCTGTCTCTCTGTCAAATTAAATAAAAATCTTTAAAAAAAAAAAAGGTTTATTTATTTATTTGAGAGAGAGAGAGAGCACGGTGGGGAGGGACAGAAGGAGGGAGAAAGAAATCTCAGGCAGACTCCACGCTGAGTGCGGAGCCTGATGCTGGCCTTGACCTCATGACCCTGAGATCATGACCTGAGCTGAAACCAAGGGTCGGATGCTTAACCCATTGTGCCACCCAGGCTCCCTGCCCCCCGCCCCAGAAGCCAAGAATTTAACATAGAAACTAAGTCTGCACTCTTGAAACTCTGGGGCCATTGGCACAGACAATGTAAAACCACCATGAAGAAACACATCGACAACCCAGGGTACAAAGGATTTCTATAAAACAGTTGCCTACCACAGACAGACTCACACAGGAAATGAACCACTCTGAGAAAAAGTTAACAGATGCGGCTTCTTAGATACTTAGATACTTTTAGAAGTATTACATGCAGATCACTATGCAGTAGAATTTTTGGATGCAAAACAGAAACCTCAAACTATTATTTAATTTGTTAACAGTAATTAGAAGTGACCAGTTGTACTGAGGATAGACACATCTATAAAAATGGCAAATTAACCAGAAGTGGTTCCTAGAATAAAATATTTTGGAAATGTGTTATTTCTATATAGAGTCCTATATATGGGAACCTACATATATAAAGCATCTGACCATTTATTGAGAGACTGCCATGTGCCAGGCACAGTTATTAAAGATACAAGGTCAAAGAAAAACATCTTTCCTGCCCTTGAGAGCTTAAATTTATCTATTGTGGGAAGGCAAACAAGCAAATCAAATAATATAGTCAGTTGTTAAGTGCTCTGATAAAGATATGTATAGATTGCTATGGGGGCACAGAGGAGGGGAATCTAAATTAGCCTGAGTAGGGTGACAGAGAAGGTGTGCCAGAGGAGGTGACTGGAGTTGAATTTTGAAGGCAACTAGAAGTGAACTATAAGTAGTAATAGGAGGCTGGTATTTTAGAGGGAATGCAAGAAATTCAAGAAACAAGTTTAATATGCCTGAAGCTGGGAGAAGGCAAGGCCAGTGTTGTATTTCTGAAAGTGTCTTTGTGAAATAGATTTAGATGAATTAAAAAAAAATAAGTAACAGTCTGTGGGCAAATGAGTTTGTGAAAGAATGGGTTAAAGGAAGTTAAACAGGATTACTCCAAAACCTTCTCAGGATCATTCCTCTCAGGGGGGTGGTGGGGGCCGGGGGGGGGGAGTTGGGTGTAGAGAGGGGAGTGTGGGTGTGGTTAGAATTTGCAGCATTTTCCAAATTTGTGTCCATCGAATAGTTTTGTTTTGTTTTTTTTCACAGA